TGGGCACCCCTGGTTTAAAGTGATATATTGTCTGGGATAGTGCTGTGTTTTATGGTACAAAAACTTTGTAAAAAAAACTACCAGTAAGTTTTTGTTATCTGTTACGGTCTATGCATACATTTTTTATACATTATATTATTTTAATTTACTAATCAACAGAGATCAATATGCCATAATGCAATTTACAAATGTAAATAAACTGAAACCCCAAAATTTGCAAATGATAATTAACAGATATTTTTTTTACAGTGTAGATTGCATAGATTCTATATAATTAGTGGAAAAATGGCTAGGGTTTTGCCCCCAATGTTTTTGAATTATGTGTATATGGACACTCGTGTCTACGTGCCATGCTGAGGGTTTGCTCTGTTAGATTGGCATGAGAGTGAAATAAAAGGCCCATTCACACAAACAGATACACAAAAACACAGTGAAATTCTTCATAATTAAAATCCCAATTAAGGGGTGTCCCAATCTCTCAGTGTCTTCATTAGTTCCCTGTTTTGATCTATCGATTGTCTTTTGACTACTGTATTTTCCCTTTGCAGCCTAAACAACATCTAGGTTCTTCAGTTATCAGGAAAATAATTGTGCAACTCCAAACAAGGCAAAAAAAAAAAAAAAAGTGCATTTTTGTACTTTCAGTATAACATTTTTATGCAAACAATATGCAATTTAAGACAAAAAAAAACGTACTAGTGTACACTGCCTGACAAAAGTCTTGTCGCCTATTTAAATTTTACTAACATCAAATAATGATATGACTTCTAGTTGATCATTTGGTATCATTAGTAGCTTATATGAATAGCAAATGCCTCTAGAATACGCTTATTTTACCAAAATAAAATATGGTCATGCCTTGATTATTAATTATTTAATTAGGACAGTAACGTCTCACTTTGTTTAGACAAAAGTCTTGTCACTTAACAGAAACAATGTACAGTATAGAATATTAAGTCATGCTGCAATGCAAAATAGTTAATAATGTGTGTATGACTCCCAAGAGCTTGGAGGACTCTATCAATACATCTCTGCAGTGACTCAAATAACTTATTAATAAAGTCATCTGGAATGGCAAAGAAAGTGTTTTTGCAGGACTCCCAAAGTTCATCAAGATTCTTTGGATTCATTCTCAATTCTTCCTCCATCTTACCCAAGACATGCTCAATAATGTTCATATGTGGTGACTGGGCTGGCCAATCCTGGACAAATGTCTTGATACCTCAGGTTGTTGATGTTGCCATCCACTCTGCAGAACTCCCACATGATTTTTCCTTCATCAAACTTGACTGATTTCTATAAGAATCTTAGGTACGTGCGGGTTCCAATAGGTCTTCTGCAGTATTTGTGATGGTTGGGATGCAGTTCAACAGATGATTGAAATGGTTACATGAGTGGTGCTTGACGAAGACCTGTCAGAGAGGGTTTGTGGATAGCTGCACCTTCGATTTCGAAAGTTTGCTTTTCTATAATTAAATGAAACAACAGCATTTTCAAACTAAAATGAGTTTTTAACCCACTCTGTTTTTGTGGATCTAAGATGGCAGAATACTGTGGATGCCAGGCGCATATTTCACCAAATCAAAAGGTGGACCACTCTTTAAAAATAGGTGTAATCAGTTGAGCTTGCCAAATTTCAACTAATCCCTGAGGTGTTTGAAATTGCATTTGATTGGGTTGGTTTCATTTGCTCATTCAAATACTCATTGGATTTGATTGGTTTCTGGGGGTTATTATGAAGCTTGTACATTATGACTTTGTTCTTGTGAAGTCAATTTAGTAGCGCACGTTATTATTTTTTAGGCTAACAATTGAAATGTTAAAATTAAAGTCTGACCTTTTGCCTCCATGTTTGGAGTGGTGATCCTGTGTTGACATCAATTTTATAGCTTCATCTACAATATTCTTAACTACGTCCCTCTGAACTTTAGTTTGATATGAGAGAATGATGCAATGAAGAAAGCCCTTCTTTTTCACTTGGATTTAATTCACCATGCTGAAATAAAGGTCTTAGCAACTTAGTTTATGCATGGTAATCTATGCACTCACCTAAGACATGATTGTGTTAGGTAAATCATATTGTAAAAATCATATTTGCTATCCACATTCCTTTTATTCACTTTCTGACTTCAAGTCACATATTTGCTCATTCGATATCTGAAGGAAATCTGAACACACATGGCCACAAGATGTTTTTGAGCAGGTTAAAACCAGATGGAAAAAATAACTTAACTGACTTGTGTTTTTTGTTTGTTTTTGTGACCAGATCACTCAAAACACGTGGTAATACCAGGTGGAAACAAGGCCAAAGTGAATACTTTATTGGGGAACTATGATGAAAATCAGCTTGAATCATTTTGAGGCCCACCGCAACGTGACGTAGGAGTGCGGTTTCCCCGCCCATTGATTGACAGCTGTGTATTAACATGTAATAATAATAATAATAATTCCTTACATTTATATAGCGCTTTTCTGGGCACTCAAAGCGCTTTACACAGTGGGGGGAATCTCCTCATCCACCACCAGTGTGCAGCATCCACCTGGATGACGCGACGGCAGCCATTTTGCGCCAGACCGCACACCACACACCAGCTGATTGGTGGAGAGGAGACAGTGATGCAGCCAATTAAATATTAAATATGGGGATGGTTAGGAGGCCATGATGGACAAAGGCCAGTGGGCAGATTTGGCCAGGATGCCGGGGTTAAACCCCTACTCTTTTTCGAAGAACATCCTGGGATTTTTAACGACCACAGAGAGTCGGGACCTCGGTTTAGCGTCTCATCCGAAAGACGGCGCTCACTGAGCAGTATAGCGTCCCCGTCACTATACTGGGGCATTAGGACCCACACAGACCGCAGGTTGGGCGCCCCCTGCTGGCCTCACTAACACCACTTCCGGCAGCAACCTAGCTTTCCCATGTGGTCTCCCATCCAGGTACTGACCGGGCGCAGCCCTGCTTAGCTTCAGTGGGCGACCATGTGAGAGTTGCAGAGAACTAGCTGCCGGCACAATGTCGTCGTAGTAACGCGTATAATCATGTCAACAAGACAGGACGTGCGCAAAGCAACTGGGATTAAAAGATCTGTTCAGCTCTCTGTGATCATCATCATCAATCATCATCAAATGTGATCAAGAATGAGTTTGACAAGTTTAAGACATTTTTAAAACATAGTATATGTCTAATGAATTACAGCGATTTTATGGTCTGTATCATCACCGCCGGATGGCAGTTCAATTATAACAAAGACGCTTCAATCCCAGTTTGTGGATGTTAAATCAGGTTTATTTTGTACATTAACATCCTGTTACATTTGCGTGCAAAAACAGTGCAAAGTAAAATGTGCGCTGTGTGTGTGCGTGTGTGTGCGTGTGTGCGTGCGTGTGTGTGTGTGTGTGTGTGTGCGCGTAAACTTTGTAACGATAAGTGTGTTACTTATCATTCTTACTCTTAACTCATTAACTTCACAACAAATGTATTAAATAATCATTGGGAAAGTTCTTACTGTAGTATTTCTCACAAACACTATGTGAGATTTGCTTTCTTCATGTCTGTCACTGTGCTGTTTATCTGACATAGCTAAGGTAGAGATTAAGGCACACTCTGACAGGCACGTGGGAACAGTGGGCAGGAGAACTAGCATTAAAGGCGACAAAAACAGCTACAATGTGTTTAGAGCAGAAAGTTCCAATAGCCTGAAAGGTATAATAAATAATCTGCTGGGTGTTTTGAGGTGAAACTTTACAGACACATTCTGAACACACAAAAGACTTATCTTAAATCTTGAAAAATGGGCAAAATAGGTGACCTTTAACCCTTCAGTTTCCAAGACAAGGTTTAAGTCTAGTTCCAGACTGCACACTTAACTAAAAAAACTAGCAGTGGCATAGTTTCAAGAATAGTGTAGTGATTTTTCTAGCATTTTTTATTTTTTTTGTATAAAAGGTACTTAATAAATTAATTTAAGGAAGGCCTAGTCCTGTCTTAAGCTAAGCCATGTTTGTGAAACCGGCCCTGAGTGTACTTTTAGAACTTTTATATCATCGTCAATCCAGTATTGCTCAGTATTGAAATATAGCATGTTTAGACAGCTGAATGTTGACTTTGGCCTAAAAAGAACATACTTCTTGGAACCAACAGTTCAGTTTCTTTTTTTGTCCTTTGTCTAATAAATTGAAACACAAAACTATATACCATAAATGCTGTATTTTTCATGTCTAGTTCAACCAAAACTGAAAAATCTGTTGCTAATCCTTTCGCTAACCTTCCACTTGTTCCAAACCTGGGTTTCTTTCTTCTGTGGAATGCAAAAGAAGATATTTTGAAGAATGTTGGAAACAATTGATTTCATTACAATTTCCTACTATGAATATCAGTTCAAAATATCTGCTTTTTCATTTAAAGTCCAGAACCAAAAGTCGCTGAGACTTTTATTTCAGTATGTTAATGAACTTCCAACTGAAACGGAATATTGAGTAGGGGATAGAGCTTTAATTTTGCGCATCATTTCCTTGTAGCAAACTAATAGTAAGAAGGACCGCCACTCTATTTTGCGGCTTTGACTGAAGATTACCAAATCAAAACCTTTTTTTCAGTGCACTATCTACAGAGTGGGCCATTTATATGGATACACAATAATTAAATGGGAATGGTTGGTGATATTAACGTCCTGTTTGTGACACATTAATATACGTGAGAGGACTTGGAAATAACTCATGAAAACCAAGCACACCATTGTTTTTCTTGTGAAATTCCCAATAAGTTTGTCAAGGTGCATCCATATAAATGGCCCACCCTGTAGTATGGATACATTGTTCACCTAAAGAATGGCAATGTGCACTAGAAAAATAAAGAATGCCAATTTTGATTTCAAACTTTAAAGGTTGAATAAATTCAGAGTAAATGTTCAGTTTTGGGTGTATTTTCCCTTTAATAACACTTATTAGATCTTTATGTTTTTAATAGTGTTTTTAATAACACTTTTTATCCTCTCTTACAGGCGGACATAACAAAGTGTGTCGTCAGTACAGACCCCAGTTTCCACTCTCACTGGCTAGTAACGGCCGCCTGCGCCTGCGGTCACTACCTTAAGGCTGTGGTTTTCTACCTGCTGAGAGAGAAATGAAGAGCAGAATCAACAAGTGACGGACAGAAAGAGCTTTCTAGTCACTGCTTAAGCCTTTCACTGCTCTTGATGTGTTTACACTTGCACAAAGTTTGCACTTTTCCTTTAAAGGATATTCTTATGCTCCAAGATGAACCATTATCTTTAAAGGCGTTGTTGAGTGTTTAACCTGGCCTTTTGCACTCTGTAGGCATTCCTTGCTGTTACCATTTTTTTATTGAACCTAATGTTGATATGCAGAATACCAAGCCCTGCGGGATGCATCTGAAAGAATGTTATCATGATGTGTGTGTATATATATGTTTGTCTGTTCTGTCAGTGCTGCCTTGTCCAACATTGTCTTATCACAATGTTTTTTATATCATTGGAGATTGCTAAATATTAAGATTGGTAAGTGTAACTGAGACCCACAGTGTGGTGAGAAAATGGCCAGGGGTTATTTAGAAAACAGTTCTGAGTGAAAACTGTTAATGAAATGAGAATGTATGTGGGATGATAAAGAACAATAGACATTTCAGTTAATGTCAAATTTCAAGCTGGGACCTGTCAAGTAGTATTTCAAGGGTTCCCACTCTAAACTCTTAAATTCCCTGACCTTCACTGAATAAAAGGCTTTTCCAATAAAAAAGTCAAAATTTCCAATATTTTAAATGAGTAGGAAAACGGGCAGCTGTTGTGTTGTCCCTCCAGAATTTTGTAATCGCTGAATTGAATGCAAAATTAAGCAAAGGATTTACAATTTAGAGGAGATTGGAGATTCTGTAATTGTTGCAAATTTTCTTTTTGTTTGCAAGTTTTACATCAAATCCAGGCCTCGTCCAGTGTGTGATATCTTGGGTTGTCATAGACCTGACAGGGTGTATGATCTGCTTTAGACACATCATGTGACATCATCGCAACACAAATTCAGCCAGTCTATTTGAACAAGGCTACATTTGTTGAGAAAGTCAGGCATTTTAGGCCACAATCATCAGAAATCTTTTCCACAAAGTTCAGGAGGGACTGAAAGAACACTGAGCAGACAGAAAACTGCCTTGTGACTGCATTTGATTGCTCGTAACAAGTGGAAATGGCAGTGGAAAATAGCCTTTAGCATAACAATATGCAAAACATGTGAAACAATGTGTAAATAAATCAGGGTATAAAAAAAGTACATTTGAAAAATGCAATGTAAAATTTGAAATGACAAAGAAAACGCCCTGATATTCCATAACCCGTGTGAATCCTGTATTTCATAATGTTGTCTATCTCTTTTCTTTTTGTAATTTATTTTTGAATGTATTTTCCCATTAATTCTTTTTTTTGGTGTTGTTGGTGTCTAAGCTACACGGAGTCTTCACTAATAGTAACTTAAAACTCTTTCTTCTAATTGTTTATATCATTGTATTGCATTGTATAGTTTAGTTTATTCATATAAATCTGTGAGAAACTGCACATTGTTTTGTGTACGCTACACTGAAAGCAAAAAAAAATAAAACATTCAGTTGTTTTTTCAAAGATGTATTTGCTGTGCTTGTTTTGGGGTTGGAAAATCATTAACGTTAATAATAAAGGCTGATAAATGAACACAACGTTAGTGTAATTGGTGGAGAGCGAGTAGGAGGATGCTGTTCAGATCAGAGTTTAGAGATATTGTTACTATGGTGATCAACCTCAATGTGGTTTCATTTACTCAGACTTTGAGAACACAAATATGAATTATTATAGAGGGGCCTATACTGAAAAAATCACTAGTAATTTGTAGTAGATAATGTTTTTTTAATAACTATAGTATTACTGTTTATAGTAATTTACAACACTTTGTTAATAAATGCTAACTACAGTGAAATGATAAACCTTGAGAAATACTGTTGTTTTACTGTAATGTGCATTGCATAATAAAACAATAGCATTCTGTGATTTGTTTACATAGCAAACCATACATAGCAAATATACAATTACCACAGCATTTTTCTTTAAGTATTTTACTGTAGGATAAAAAAACACTATAGTATTTAAATTACTATACTAGTCTATAGTGTGTACAGTATATTTTGGAAGTTTTAAATACATTTGTGAATTAAAGTTAAACATTTTAGTATATTTACTTCCTCCCAAAAAAATAGCATATTTAGTAGCCGTGTTCACTGAAATTAATCTTAGCGCAAATATTTTACAAGGTTTGTTCCAACCTGAAATCTTACGCAATCATATCAATTGTGGCAACACAGCGACACCTAGTGGTTTCAGATGTATTTTCTGTCGCCTAACTAGAGATTTACTCAGCATTTACTCTATCAAGTGATTTCAAACATTTGTGAGTTTCTTTCTCCTGTTAAACACAAAAGAGGCTGTTTTGAAGAAAACCAGACACCATCATTGGTTTCCATTGTAGGAAAAAAAACAAATATGAAGGTCAATGGTTGGTTTCCAGCATTTTTCAAAATAGCTTTTTTGTGTTGAAAAGAATAAAGAAACTCATAAAGTTTTGAATCAAGAAAACAATGACAGAATTTAATTTTTTGGTTGATCCCTTAAAATTAGGCCTATATGCTGTAAAACAATTCATCATTTAACGGGCTACGAAACATGCTGCTGACACAAGTAAATGGGAAACAATTATAAAGTTTATATTGTTCTTAACTTACAGAAATGGCTACTAAATCTTAAAATTAATGTATTAGACCTTTCAATAAAGCTGTTGAACCTTCCAACCTCATTCTCCTATTTAACAAGATTATGACTTGGTAGGCCCTACTGTACCAAATCAACAACATTAAACGGTGAATTTGCTTTCTTTTCTGTTTAATACTGTCTAATCATACGACTGAGACAAAATGTAGATGGGATACTCTCATCCGGAGAGACCCACAAAATGCAAACGACATCTAGTTTTTTTATGTAAAGACCTCATTTATAGTGTGAAAAAGACAAGTGTTTATATGAGTTACATTAGATAAATTATGGAACATTACTGTGAAAAAAAATTGGTTTAAATCGAGTTAGTTTTCTTTACATTTTAAAATTGTTCATTTTAATCTGTTTTATACAAATGTGTTTTGATATTTTACTTCTAATTTAATCATGTTGGTATTACTTTACAATATCGTATTTATTTGTTACATTTAAGTTTGTTATGTTCATTTATGTTTTTGCTAACTTACACATTTGTTTGAACGCTTTTCTACACTTTTTTATTCAAACATTTCCAGCTGCCACCAGAAGCCATAGACAACTCATATAGTTTTCTAGTCATCTGTCATTTTTGCACAAATGTTTGCACATTTAAATTGAGTGATCACGTTACTGATTAAAACTCTTCACCGACCTAAGTGTTTAAAATAGACTGAATTTAAAGTAGAAAGTGTTTTATTTCATTTAATGTTTTTGCCTTATAAAAACACGTTAGACTTCTAATAGGAAAACACTCAACAATTTTGCTGATTTATAATGTTGCATTCCAAAACTATGGGATTGCCTAACTACTTTAGCTTGTTGTTTACATCCGCTTTTCAGACGGAACACACCAATCCCCGCCTTGTCCAGTCCAAAAAGGTGTTTTAATTGGTTATCATTAAAATGACGCTTCGTGATCAAGGCGGAAGCGAGTTGCTATTGGCCAGTGCGGCTTAAGGGACACACAACAAACAAGATAGGCTGAATCACTGTCGGGATGGATGCAGGTAAGAAACCCGCAAGAAAACATTTCTTTACATTTCGCTCATTTGTCTAGATGTCATGAAACTGTTAAAAAGGAAAATTCTTCTTTCCACAACAAAGTACGCGCCTGTTTTTGGAGTAGCGGCCTCTACGTTTTGGAATTTTGCCGTTAAATATGGTACATAGATGTCCCAACTGCTGCCAACTGGACAGTATAAGAGATCAGTCTGGTGTCAGATGAGGGATGGACACAGTTTTGTCTTCTAGGTGTCATTGCACCAAAATGGCACGACCACCCGTGGAAACTGTTAGGCTGTTTGGGTTGTGTTTTAGAGTCTAGTCAACTGCCTACATAGACAGCATTTTAGACATGATAGGAGTGTTCCACTGCACGTATGTGTCTGTTGAGCGGTAAATGCCTCAGGGAGCTTGTACAGATCTTCTGTTATCACATTTCTGCATTCTTTCATAAAATATTTGTCAATAACATGTAAAATAGTGACTTTTTAACCGCTTCGTGCTTGACATCCTTTTAAAAAGAACAAAGCAGTTTTCAATTTTATAAAGTGAAACGTAAAATATCCTCCATGTTAACTTGGAGCACTATAAAGGCTGTGAAGTTGTTGAGAAAAAAGCAGGTAACATTTTACAATTATTTTAGCATCAACCCTAAAAAAGGCTAAGTGTAGAAAAATGTAATATTATTTAATTTATAGTATTGTTTATTTTCCAATTCACATATTTTATGATCCCTTAAAACCAACTTATAGATACCAAATGAAATAAATGCTTAATTAGTTGTGTTATTTCTTTAAACATTTTTGTGTTCATTGAATTGTCTGAAAACTCTTAAATAGTTAAAAACGAACATTTCTTAGAAATTATTAATAATTACTGCTTCACAATGTAAACCCTGCTAAAAAAGTTGTTTTTTCAGTACTTTTTTAGTCAAAATTTGAACTCATCTTTACAAACTACATTTGATTTTTAGTGTAAACTCAAAAAGTGTGAATGGATAAGGGGTTAAATATAGTATGAATGTGTGTGGTTGAAATGCTATCTGTTTTTACAGTCATGATGGGACATGCAGTTTCAGTTGTGTTGCTTTATTTCCATTCACGAATCATTTTCTGTTGCTTCACCTTCTATTTTATCAATTTAATAGGGACTGTAGACAAGTAGGCTCATTCAGATTTAGAGATCGCCTTTGCTTTTACTTACTTGATTTTGTTTGTTACTTGTTGAGCCACAAGTTGATGATTGGCTTTCCCCCCTAACAGCTACTCTCACATACGATTCATTGCGCTTTGGAGAGATCGAAGATTTCCCAGAGACCTCTGATCCTGTCTGGATTTTGGGAAAGCAGTTCAGCGCTCTAACAGGTTATCAAGTGTGAAACATTGAATGTTTTGTGATGTTGTGTTTGGGTTTTGCTCCTAACATGGTTTTCATTTTGGGTTGCAGAGAAGGATGATATTCTGGCAGATGTCACCTCACGTTTATGGTTCACGTACAGAAAAAACTTCCAGCCAATTGGTGAGAGTGAGAGTCAATAATCCTGATCTTGTCCAAGCAGTCCATTTAATTATTCATCTGGAAAGATATACTGGTTTAGTTTGGTTTGCTAATGGATGTGATTTTACAGGTGGCACTGGGCCCACTTCAGACACCGGCTGGGGCTGCATGCTTCGATGCGGACAGATGATTCTTGGGGAGGCTTTGATCTGCAGGCACTTAGGCAGAGGTAAGGCTAGCACATCTGAAACGTGTGTGATATCGAGATGGTGATTTATGAGGTCTGCTGTTGTCTGAGGCCTTACACAGTGTCTTTCCTTTGCGTTTTAAAGGAACACTCCAATTTCTTGGTAATATTACCTTTTTAGAAGTCCCCTAGAGTTATTTTTCAATCCATTCATTTGATCTCTGGGTCTGGTGGGAGCACTTTTAGCTTAGCTTAGCTTAGCATAGATAATTCAGTCAAATTAGTCCATTAGCATCTTGCTCAAAAAATAGAAAAAGTTTTCTGTTCTTTTGCAGTTACGTCATGTGCTAAGACTAACAGTAACTGAAAAGTTGTTATTTTCTAGGTCGATATGTCTAGGAACTCTACTCTCATTGGGACATCATAATCAATTAGCTTTGCTGCTGTATCTTGACTTCAGCATTGCACAATGATATCACACAGCACCCGAAAATAGTCCCCAGCAAGGTAACAGTAGGACTGGGTGTTTTGGCCTAAAATCAAGTCTTGATTAATTAAACATTTTAATTTGATTATGATTAATGAAAGATTAATTAATTAATTAATTATTCCTTTTTTTGCCGCCATAGTTCACTGATAAGTTTTGTACAGTAAATATGTTTACATATTACATGTGAGAGATTTTTGCACAAAGGGTGCAATACTTGATTTTAAAATAAATAAAGGAAACGGGACTCCACATGCAGTAGGGTAAGTGATTAAAAAAATTGATCTGGAAAAATTTGACCGATTATAGGTTCTAAATGACCATTTTCGAGTACTTTTCAATTAATCGCCCAGCCCTAGTAACAGCACTGTGTCATATCATTGTGCTTGCTGCAGCCAAATTCCTTCATTATTACGCTGGAAGTAGAGTATAGTTCCTAGCTATATCGACCTAGAAATTTTATTTTTTCATAGTGAAATTGAGCAATTACACAGTGTAACTCCAGAAGAGTCAAGCTTTAAATAGGAACATTATCAAAATTAGTTTTGAGTGAGTTTGCTTCACAGATTTATGCTAAGCTAAGCAAAGAGTAAAACCCAGCAAACCCAGAGATGGGCTGAATGAATTCAAAAATAGTAAAACTGAACAGTTTAGCTCTGTGATTTTGAAAATTTAGCCTATTTCAAAAAAAGTTGACTGTTTTTTTTTTTTGCCAGGTCAGGCCAGTATTGTAGTACAGTGTAGGGAGGTGAGTGTGTCCGTGGACACTTGTGTGTATTTACAATTTGCTGTATAAATATTATGCTGGGCGATTAATTAAAGGTGATATTAATTCATATTTTGTCACTGAAACCAGTTTTGTAATTAGATGTAAATCTCCAGCAGCTGCTTTCAGATGGAGCAGCTTGTACAACACAGGGCCATAGTTCAGTGACAAGCTATGCAAAAGATAGCAAAAGATTTAATCAGTACAATCCCGAATTCTTGTTCTGCGACACCTCTCCATTAATTATGGCTCTGTGTTGCTGTTGGTCTTAAAGCACAGGAAAATATCACATTATAATATCACATTTACTCATAAATATCAGTACATAAATATTAAAAACTTTCAAGAATTTAAGTTCTGATTACAGTTAAACGCGTCATAACAGGCTTGTGAAAAGGGTCCATAACATGCTCTTACTTCTAACTCACTTCAAAACTTCAGTCGAGTTTTTGAGCTAAATCATTCTGTGAGATGTTTCCTTAGTTTATAAGTCATTTTAATCAATAAAAACGGTTAAATCGTCTGCTCTGTTTGATTTCACAACCATGTTTCTTCTTTGTGGCATAATTGTCATTTTCTTTGGAGGAGATTTACTGTTGATCACAGAGCTGTGTTTTCAAGACAAGATGTACAAGAGAATCACAGTTTTCACTGAATCGAAATTTGTTGCAAATAATCGTGCAGCCCTAAAGTATATGATGCATTTCTGCTGAGGGATGTAATATTGGTGAAATGTAATATTGGTGAAGTAAGTCCACACTTTGCTGAAGAAGCAATTAGCAAACTCTCGACCAGTAACAATACTATCATGTAATCAACCACTGTTGTGTATGTTTAATCACTTTTGCCTTTTTAAAGTGATAGTTCACCCAAAAATGAAAATGTAATCCTTATTTACTCACCCTTAAGTGGTTTTAAACCTTTGAGTTTCTTTCTTCTGTTGAACACAAAAGAAAATATTTTGAAGAAAGCTGAAAACCTGTCACCATTCACTTCATAGTAGGAAAAACTACTATTAAAATACTATGAAGTCAATGGTGACAGGTTTTTAGCTGTTTTCAAATTATCTTCTTGTGAGTTCAGATTTGAACACAACAGATTTGAAAAAATGAAGGGAGTAAATGATGACAGAAATTTTAATTTTGGGTGAACTATCCATTTAAAGTGAACATGCACTACGTTGTCGACATACCTAACCCATACTATGCACATGTATGATGTCACCGTTTTCAAATGTATGCATTTTTAGCCACCAAAGCACTGTTATCATGCAAATGAATAGGCAAAATGCAAAAAGTTTCTAGTTTTTGGCTGAAAATGTTGTATAAACTGCCCCTGTGATGTTATGTGTGTTGTATATTTTATTAGACTGGAAATGGAGTCCAGGTCAGCGGCAAAGACCAGAATATGTCAGCATCCTCAATGCTTTCATTGACAAGAAGGACAGCTATTATTCTATTCATCAAATAGGTACTACTTATCCAGAGCTTGAATATTATATGAATAATTTTAATTGGATAATTGATCACAAATCTTTTATTTGCTGGTAATTCACAATTTTTGGCTGAAAGTGTGCTCCTTAGTGATTTCTTAAATGCAAGTGAATGTTTACTGGCACTTGGGGAGTGAACAAACTTTATAGTCTAAACAAAATTAATACCAGTGGCTCCTGACAATGCTTTGTTTGGAGTCAGTAGACTTTATATATATGTATTGTAGTTATTATGTAATCCACCAAGGCACACCCTTTTAGTTAAACATATTATTTAATTTTAATAAGTCATGTAAGTTTTTGATGGCCTAAGGGAAATCCAAAATCTCATATTTTTGGGGATCATCATTGTAAGGTTATTCTGTTAATGACAAAATGACTGTGGATGACATGCTATGTTGTTTTCTTCAGCTCAGATGGGTGTAGGTGAGGGCAAGTCTATTGGCCAGTGGTATGGTCCAAATACAGTGGCACAGGTACTCAAGTAAGTCAGCCAAGTCTAATCAAATTTATAAATTCAGTATTTTGTTTTGTGAAATTTAGTAAAATTAAATGTAACTGGCAAACACTACTGAAATCTTGAAATTATTATAATTTGCTTTAAACTGCTTTAGTGTTTTGGAATAAAAATATGTAAACATGTGTGCCCATGTAGGAAACTTGCTGTTTTTGACTCCTGGAGCCGATTGGCAGTTCATGTAGCTATGGACAATACTGTGGTCATCGAGGAAATCAGTGAGTTCTCTTTCAGATTGTCTCATAAACGGGTCTAAATGGAAGCTGCAGACTTTTTGTAAATTAGAAGGGAATTTTAGTAAAGAAAGACTAAAACTATTAGTCCAAAAACATTTTATTAAAGGAAATAAAATAAAAATTTACAATAAATGAAAAACTGTAACTAAACAAAACTCCCAATGCACACCTCCCACCAGTGCTATCTATATCTATATCTATATCTATCTATCTATCTATCTATCTATCTATCTATCTATCTATCTATCTATCTATCTATCTATCTATCTATCTATCTATCTATCTATCTATCTATCTATCTATCTATCTATCTATCTATCTATCTATCTATCTATCTATCTATCTATATATATATATATATATATATATATATATATATATATATATATGTGTATATATGTATATATGTATATATGTATATATATATATATATTTCAATTGGTTTTATCTGATTGGAAGTTTTTTTTTTATGTGTTAGTTCTTTTTTTTATCTCTCATAGTCTCATAATCATTCTGCATAAAGTATCACATTTTATTTTTTTCAGATGTCTGCACAAAAATACCAAAAAGGTGCTCATAAGTAATGACATGTTTTGTATGTTGTACATAAGTTACCAGCCCATAAATTTGATAATCTGGGATGCCTGATTGGTGAATTTTAAACTGGCCTTTTTTTTGAAGAGATTACAGAATTACAAAATACAGAATACAAAATAAAACATTAATGATTCAGAAAAGTTGATTAAATCAATTGCCTAAGCAAACTGTGCAGCTGACAAATCATTAAAAATAAATGAATTAACTTAAATATTTAAATATATCGTTATTTAATCAGCAGGTATTAACTCTGTCAACTTGTGCTTGTCTGAACCACCTTCTCTTTTAAACCTGAGGTCCTTTTTAAGTTACACAATGTGGTGGAGCAATATTAACACACTACATCTTGCAAAACCTTTGTACCAGTAGGTTAGCTGATGAATTGCGGTTCGTTCGTTCAAAGATGTTCAGTGAGATTTAAGTCCAGACTCTGATTAAGCTACTGAAGGGCATCAATTTCTTCTTTTTAAGCCACTTCAGTGTTATACTGGCAGTGTGCTTTTGGGTTGTTGCCTTAATGAATTTCTTCATTTATACTTTCTGGCAAGAGGAAGCAGTTTTGTTTGTCAAAATCTCCAGGAGTTCTGCAGCATTCATTATTCTTAAGCAGATTGCCGGTGTGTGCTGTTTAAAAGTACATCAATAAAATAGCAATGTCACTAACGGGACCATATTTCATTGTGGGCATGGTGCTACTTGGCTGATGTTCAGTGTTTTATTATACACCCCACATGAGGCACATAGTAGATTACTTCAATCAAACCACAGTTTAGTTTTTAGTAAACTAAATATTAATCAAAGGCGGCAACACCAAAGCTCCAAAAATACTAAATTATTAAATTAAAAAAGCTGACACATGGCATTTGTGTCAGCTTTTTTAATTTAAGGAATATGTATTTTTGGAGCTTTGGTGTTGCCGCCTTTGATTAAAATTTAATTTGCACCTTTTGCGGTTTTTGGCTGAGCACCCAGTTAAGAGTGATGTGCGTGCTTTTGTACAATTTTTCACAGTTTTTAGTAAATAACTTTTTCTTCAAAAAGCAGATTCATACTTTTGCATCCAGCGCACGCATGTGCTCCGGCGCAGCCTTCATGTGGTTGCATAGCCCTCGCCGTGGTCATCGCTGACACGCACCTTTCAAAAAAATTTAACTACACATCGCAACGATGCCTAGCGTAAGTTCTGTGATTGGTCGGCTTGGTAGCGCTGATGAATGTGGCCGGGACTCAGAGCCGTGCGAACTCATTGGAGCTAATGTTTACAAGTGTTGAGTCTTATGAAGGAGCCTACTGTCCTATTGTGTTTACCTTATAAATGATGTTGTTGCTCATCCGCTGGTTTCCACCTCAAAATGAGCGAGTTTGAGCCACTTGTACATTTGTGGTAGTGTTCAGAAAAAAAAAAAAATTACCAGTGAAGAAACTCAAACACAAACAGAACAGAAACTCATCTGGTGTGTGGTGTGCGGTCTGGCACAATATGGCTGCCGTCGCGCCATCCAGGTGATGATGCACTCAGGTGATGATGCACTCAGGTCGTATATGAGGAGATTCCCCCCAAAAATGTGTAAACTGCTTTGAGTGTCCAGAAAAGCGTGATATTAATAATAATAATTTCTTACATTTATGTTCAATTATTATTAAATAATTAGGTCTAATTTTCTTTTTTTCTGTGTTTTCACTTCACTTAGTTAAACGCTGGCATCTATTTTCTGTATTATTTGTAATCATAGTAATTAAAAAGTATTTTTATTGCATGTCCCTTCATTCTAGTCAACTCTTGTTACATTGGTTACAAAAAGGCATAACAACCTTTAAACTACTGATAGAAAAAGCATGTGAAATGCTTCTACTGATTGTTTAGGATACCCTAATAATAAAATGTCAACTCTGTTATCGTGATTTTTTCTTTTCTTGTTCACCTTTTGAAATTTATATGATAAACTACATAAAATTCAGATTTAGACATGCCATGTGCTATCTTGTTTGAGGTTAGCATCTTGAGTTAAAGCACAAAATGGTATGTCAACTATACTATTGTCAAATTTGTTTGTGCTTTTAAAAGCATTAACATGAAAACAGCAGAATTAAATGTTCGCTTTTAAGCATTTTGAATAATTTTACATTAGTAATGGATTCAATGCTTATGTTCCCACAATTCTAGATTTTAAGTTTGTGTTGAATCTTTTGTTCATAATGGGTTTTTTTTTGTCAGGTCAGGTGATGTGTTAAATCTAATTTCACAACCATTGTAAGTGATCCATTTAGCCTATGTCTGACTTGTGGTGTTTGATAATGTTTGTTTTGTCTGCCTTTGTTCAGAGAGGTTGTGTATGCCATGGCTGGATTTCGACAGGGGTGCATGTGCCGTTTCTGAAGAGCCTCGAGAGATGAATGGAGATCTGGAAGGAGCTTGTGCTTTGGCCGAGGAGGAGACGGCTCTGTGGAAACCCCTTGTTCTGCTGATTCCTCTAAGACTGGGCCTCAGTGACATCAATGAAGCCTATATTGAACCACTCAAGGTAAATCTGTTACACGTAATAGATATAAATACTCAACGACCGGCATGTTAAGGTCAGTCAGAATGTCTTCACTAAATGGATGCTGAATGGTTGACTTCGTTTTCATGTCTTATGCACAGCAATGCTTCATGATGCCTCAGTCTTTAGGAGTAATTGGTGGGAAGCCAAACAGCGCTCACTACTTCATTGGCTTTGTAGGTAAGGAGAGATCTTAGAAGTAAATCCATAAATAGTTAGTTCTAAATGGGTAGTCATTGGAAAATCATTATACACCCATGCAAATACATTCCTGGGGTTGGTTCATCAGATTACTCCATTAGCTAGATTTGATTATTGACCATTTGACATGATCCTGGATATTTTAGGCTCTTCAATACTCATTCAGAAGTTGTTGTCATTTCAAGTATTTCAGCTGGAGTTTTTTTTTTCCAAGAGTAATTTATTGAATTGGGGAAAATGCTAATATTTAATACTTTAAAATTACTTTTAAATGTACTTTTTTTGTTTTTTTAAAATTGTAATTATTCAAATGGTACTTTTTAGGTATTAAGACAGGCAAATAAATAGATAGATAGATTAGACAGACAGACAGACGGATGGATGGATAGATAATTGTCAGCACTTGGTTCAAACCCTTTCATCAAAGTTGTCCTTAAACTATTCAACAACACCCATTCTTGTTCTAGGACAATTTTGAAAACCTTTTTTGATCCATTTCAAATGTTGACTGCTGTACACTTGTGTAAGGTAATACAGTATAGACATAAGATTCCACCCCAACTTGCATTTTTCCATCTCTGTTCTTATAGTTAGTCTAATTTTCTGCTCCGTGTAATTAATTTCACGCTCGACAACTGGCAATCACTTGCTGTAAGTCAAATGCAGTCACCAGACTGTCTTTTAATTCAGTCTTACATGTCAGTATAATCGGCAGCACGGTGGCACAGTGGGTAGCACAATCACCACACTATAAGTGAATCGGGTAAGCTTAATTGCCCATAGTCTGTGTGTGATTGAGTGTGTATGGATGTTTCCCAGTGAGGGGTTGCAGCTGGAAGGGCATTTGGTGGATAGGATATAATAAAATATGATTTTTAATGTTGTCTCCAATATCCTTCCAATAGTCTATAAGTTTCTAGTATTCATTCATTCATTCAACCAGTGTAAACGCACAGAGAACAAAGGCTCTTGCTTTTGCACTCCTTTATTTCGGGCACTGCGAGAACAGCTTCTCTCCCATGGTGCACGTCAGAACTGAACGTTCTGTACGACTGCCAGAAGGGGGCGTATTCCGACAGTCATGTCCAAATGTCGTGTGCAGTGGAAAGGCAGCTTTAGCTCATTATTAATCAGGAGTCGCCACAACGTAATGAACTGCCAACTTATCCAGCATATGCTTTACACAGCTGATGCCCTTCCGACCGCAACCCAACTCTTGGAAACATTATTGATATTATAATAAATTATTTAGGCAACTAAAGTCACTCAGAATGTTACCATTTTACTGTTCTACAAAGTAGGCCTGTTTTTCCATTCATTATAGGTCATGTGAATTCAGCTCATTAGTCAGTAAGAATCAGTGAAAGTCAGAGAATTTTATATTTCATTTTAAAACCTTGTTTTAAGTAAAGTACAAAGAATTATTGTTGCCATTTAATGTTTTAATTGTGAAACTCCACTTTAGACTGAATATTTATTACACATCTATACAGTTTTAGAAGAGATAATCAATATCATATTTTCAAGCAGTGATACAATTAATAAAACATTAGTAGTGCTGTTTCACCTACTCATCAACTTTTTTTTTAACTCACGTCAGCAATGTGAAGTCCTTTCTCCATCATGTGCGATGTACATTTCCACATATTTTCTGATTTTGAAGAGGACTATTTTTATAATAAAACTTGGTTTGTCAGTCACAATGTGCTTTGTGCTGCAAATAATTTTTTATGTACTTGATTATTTTTAAGCAACTTGATGCCCATTGTAAAATTTTGGTTTTAGAGTTACTGCTCTTATAATGCAACAGCAGCTGAAAAGTTTAGACTATGTAATTGTTGTAGGACAGCAATATTCCGATTTAAAACTACATATGCATAAACTTATCTATTCTTCCTGATGCTGCCCTGCAGGTGACGAGCTCATTTATCTAGACCCTCACACCACTCAGCCAGCAGTGGACCCCAGTGAAGACGGCCATTTCCCAGACGACTCATACCACTGCCAGCACCCTCCATGCCGGATGCACATCTGTGAGCTCGACCCTTCTATTGCTGCTGTGAGTACAGCTTAATGTTGAAGAAACTCTATTCATTCCAGTATAGAGGATGTGAAATGTTTATCGTCTACAATAATCTTGGAATTGTTTAAACAGTGTGCCAAGCTGATGTTTAAGGGCTCCTATTTTACCTCTTTTACAATATATAAGAGTAGTCTTTGGTGTCTCCAGAATGTGTCTGTAAAGTTTCAGCTTAAAATACCCATCAGATTATCTTTTATATAATGCAGAAAGTGCATTGTGAGCCCCCTTTGGCCCCAGAGCAAAGTGAAGCTTCTTTTGTAGCTTGTGCCTTTAAATCAGGGTTCAGACACATTTTTACTACTAAAATTATATGGCTTTTCCAGGACTTTTCATGACCTAATGTTTCATGTAATGTCAATGTATACGGTGTAAATAACAAGAAAACAATCCATTTTCAAAGTTATTAAAGCATATCATAAAACATGCAACAATCTATTTAGCTTAAATTAATCTTTATGTAAAATGTATTTAGATAAGGCTCACGCAGCTCTAATAATGTGAGAGCATGAGTTTGGCCATGGACAGAAAAGAAGTAAAGACAACTAACCCATATTTAAGCATAGAGATATTTTTTAAATTAATTTCCATGACTTTTCCGAAACTTTGTGGGTTTGTCAGATTTTCCAAAACTTTTCCAGGGCTGGAAAATGTCATGTCAAAATTCCATTACTTTTCCAGGTTTTTCCATGACAGTGTGAACCCTGTTAAATGCAAATGAGCTGTTCTCCCCACCCACCATCTCCACTTGTGTGTCTGCTTTTCGTGTGTTATGTCAGATGATCAGCAATCAGTGATAGAGACAGACACGGATGAAACAGAAATACAGCTAATTAGTCAAAAATACCAAGTAAGAAACATCTTATAATTTTATAGTTGTACTGACACTAGCGATTTTACTGTTTTTTTTTATGTATTCAAGGTTCCTGCGGGTCCTTAAGAAGTCTTAAAATGTCTAAATTAAAATCCAGGAAATTAAGGTCTTTAACTGTCTTTAATTTACAGAATATTGGCTGTAGGTAGTTCATTTTTAGCCGTTGTGCTTAATGACGATAGGTAAGCACAGTGGTCCACTGTAAAACATCTAACAGTTTATCAATTTAGTATGTGGGAAACAGGAGAGAAATGACAATCTTCGTGATTTATTAGATTATTAAGGTAGGTCGGCTACAGGCGCTTGCGTCGGTCTGCACCTGCGTGCTGTCATTACGCGGTTGTGGAGGTGAGGTTCAAAATGAAAAGATGGGATAGTGTAAATTTAACGACGTGGCAATGTGTAAATTCTGCAAAAAGACCTTTTCGTTAGGGACCATGGGGCTCAAAGCCGTTGAGTCGCAAATGAAAGGAGGAAAGCACCAGCGGTACGTTGCAGCAGCTAGTCATAGGGGGACTTGGTTAATCTCTGCATTGTTTGCAGCTCGACTAACAATGATATTAGTTCGGACTACAGCTAAAGATCTTTGCTCGGACTTAATTCCTATCATTTTAGATGGGGCCGGGCTTGGGCAGTATTTAGATTGCTGAGATGTTAAGATGTTAAAGAAGACTTTTTTTTTTTTTTGTTCCAACTTCCAAGTGGCCTACAGACCTTTTTCTTAGAACGCAAAATTACCCATTATGTTTTATTTCACCGCCAGACATCCAAAAGGCAGGTACTGTGGGTTATCCAAACTGTGACGAGGCACAATTAATTTAAAAATAACGTGACATCTTTGCTTCCATGTTCCCCGATTTGCAGCTTGCAAAGTCATTCACCTGTGGTGAAAATAAAACTGCATATGTCGCCAAATATGGCATCGCTTCATTCATCAAAGTAAGAAGTCATATGTCAAAGGTTGTTGTGAGGACGTACATTATAGTTTATTTTCAGCATCCCTATATGGTTCCTTTATACAAGGCATTGTGATGTTTAGTGTAATCCAACTTCTGTTACATTGTGATGTAGAACAGAGCCAAAGGGAAAAAAAAGAAAGAAAAAGGTCTCAAAGATAAGTATTTTTTATTTTTATTTTTCTTACCGAGTTTACACAACATTGCACATAATTGATACCAAATGGAAAACTTTCAAGTTTTGATTTCATTGTAGGAAGCCAAAAATTGAATAGCCTATTCCAAAGAAATTATAAAAAATTTTGGGTCTAAAATTATACTTGTTGAGGTCTTAAAAAGCATTAATTTTTACTTTTAGATAGTGCAAGAACCCTGTTATTAAAAACATTCACTAATTTAACCTGGTAAATCTCATTTATCAGCTGCAGCTGATCATAGAGAGTTGCAACAGATCTTTACCCCCAGTTTCTTTGCAAATCCTGTTCTTTGGACATGTTAATACACGCCTGTCAATCAATTTAGTGGATGGGGAAAACCACACTTCTACATCACATTCGGCCTCAAAATCACTGAGATTTGGATCCTATTGTAACTTTAGGAATTTTACGGAGGGACTTGTTTTTATATCAAAATCAGCTTTTAGTTGAAAACACTCGTTTAAACGCCTCCTCAGTTGTCGTTAGGTGTCAAACCTTTTGAAAGTAACTGGTTTGAATTACGGTATCATATGTGCCACTTTTTGTCCATCAGGGCTTCTTCTGCCAAACTGAGGATGATTTTGATGACTGGTGTGCACAGATTCGTAAGGTGCTCATATCATATTTTTTATTTAAATAGCCTCCACTTGTGGATCTTTTATTCACTTTGGTTTTTCTCTTCAACAGGTTTCAAACTGCAGAGGTCTTCCCATGTTTGAATTAGTAGACAGTCAACCATCTCATCTAATCACCGCTGATGTACTTAATCTCACTCCAGGTAACCCCTTTACCACTTCTTTATCAATTCAGAATTTAAAAATCATTATAAATGCACAAACCCTAATAGTATATTTTCTCCCTCTCCACAGATTTTTCAGATTCAGATCGACTCGAGCGCTTCTTTGATTCTGAGGATGAAGAATTTGAAATCCTGTCTTTGTGAAGAACGGTTAGATTTGCCAGACTTTAAGAATTCTGTGGTAGATCTTCCCTTAAGAGGACAGAGAAGAACACCGTTGACGTTCAAGGCCACTGTGGCAAACACACAGCTTTCTTCTTCAACAGCTCCACTGACTGCTTTGTGAGTGAGCCGAGGTCAGGTGTCGCGTCACAGGCACTCAGGATCATCAGTATGTATGTACTTAGCCGCATTTATGTGTATCCACATTGAGTCTTAACACTATTGATTCATTTTTAAGTGATATGGTGCCTTTTTACCCCCTTAACTTAAAACACAGGTTTGCCATAACACATTTTATGGTTTAGGTCCTGAGTCCTGCTAATCAGATATGATTTAGCATTTACTCCCGACCAATGAAAGTTGTTGATATATATTGGACCTGTATGATATTGTAAATGACAACCGAGGAAGGTTGAGCGTTTGCAGACTGGGAAGGATGGCTCGTGTAATATACAAGAATGATTTTGTCTTCATGTTTAAATTCTCTGTACACAAGTTTATTTTATGAATTATTTATTTAATCATTAAAAAATAAAATAAAATCTTAAGTTTCTCTATTATTAACAGAAAAACAAAAGATGAAGTTTATAAAAACATCAGCAGAGATGAGTTCACCTCCACAGCTCTCCAACTGGCTGTTCCTCAGCTAAACTGATGATGTTTTCACTCAAGTCTTTTATATCTTTGTGGACTTCTTCTATGGTCCTCGCAGCATCAATCACCTACAGAGAGAGAGAGAAAGACAAAATAAGAGATGCAAATGCAGAGTTCACGCACTGAATCATTTTAGCCCTGACTTTCACTCGCCGACAAGTTTTGTAAAATTGCAGACAAATGTTTGAAATCAGACTTAAATCAGTATCATGTGTACAGTATTCATGTGACTGACAGTCACGCAGTGTAAATGATAAAAGACGCCATTGGAGAGAATAGCAGACTTGATTAAAAATATGGCTTTGTGAAAGTGTTTGGACTGAAAAACACATTTGCAATGATCTACAGCCAATCAGACAGCAATATACTGAGCAGCAGGGAGATATTCATCTACGTAAATAGACTTCAATAGGAATCTAATATTGGCCACATTGATTAATTGATTAATTAATTAATTAAAACAATGCAATGATGCAGTTAAATAGAATAGATCACTAGCAAATGTATCACGTTATTCCTGTGAATTTATTCACTTTGACATTGGGTATGTTTACATGGACACCAATAATCCTATTTTGATGCAATTAAGGCAATAATCTGATTGAGAGTTAACCATGTAAACGATGATTTTTGATTCATTTAATCTAACTAAAGTCAATTAAACTAAACAGAAATTAATTAAAACATGTGGAATATGCTGATTTTAGTCGCATTATTGAAGTGCAGTACACACATGGCAACCTCTTAATCGAACTATAACCTTGCGTCAGGATATTTTATACGATATCAAATTCCATTAAAACAACACTCTTCCAGCATTTCATACTCGCATCCAATTTCTCGATTGTCATGGGAGGCAAGAATGAAATGTTCTTAAATGAAAGTGCCAAACTGCAGTTCAAGTCGACAAATTAAAAATGAAACGGCTGAAATTACATGAAACTCCAGAAGAAAGGTGAATAGTGTAGTGACGCAATGACTTTAATCAAACTATGTGTTATAACATGTAAAATGGGATCATGAAAGCAAACATTTAAAAAGCAACTCATGTAAACACCTTACTCATGTTATTGTCTTATTCAGATTAAGGCTAATAAATCAATTACTGATGTCCATTTAAACGTAGTCATCATATTGTATAGATCAACACCTGCCACCGGCCTTTGTGATGCTTTGTTTTAATGAAACCAATTAGAAGATAAAGAAATCAGCAAAACAAACATTTGGATTATATTATAAAAATCACCTTCCAGTTGATTGAGGTATCCTGCATGAGCTCTTCAAACCGTTGTTGAACCGTACGTTGGAAAGCACTCGTCTCATATCGTTCATTTCCGTATTCTCCGCGGTTTGCAGCCACATTGGGATTGAGCTGTAAAAACATGACCAGGTCTGGTTTTGGAAGTCCCACATCTGGATTCATGCACCATTCCAGAGAAAAGCCCTGAAAAAATAAATCAAGACTTTTATCTAAACATGTATACCTAAATATTAAGTTCCTGATATTTGTCCAGGAATAAAAGAGTTAAAAAATGTCTGGTCTGACTTAACATACAGTTTACAAATATACACGATTTCTATCTCAGAATTTTATGCTTAACAAAGCTGCATTTTTGATGAAATATTTGTGCTGGTTTTCTTTTGTGATAAACATGATGCACCTCTTTCAGGATTTTTGATCAACAGAATAACGGAACATTTTTCACACATTCTTACATTTATATTTTCACACATGTTTTTTGAAACATTGATACAGACACACTAAATGGGACATCATATGTATATATTAGATGTAATTGAAATATTGAACCACTTACAGGCTTGGCACTAGTAAAAGCCACTCCTGAAAATGCATAGCGATCCACCACTAGATTAATTCCTTCCTCCAACTTCTGTTTCATCACAGGCCTTGAATAAAATAGACAGACTGATTAGTTGACTGACAGATGGGTGGACACTTTAACAAATAGTACATTTAGAAATGAACAAGGTGCCGAATGTGCATACATGACAACTTCTTGGCTGATCTTATAGCAAAGGTCTGGTGAGAGTAGGTGAACGAAAATAACACAATGAAGATGTGTCTGAGAAGTTCACCGAAAGAGAAACGCTTGAGTTTTTTTGCTTAGCCGTATTTGTTTGAAATGTAGTACATCGTTGTCATGTTGTGTCAGAGGCCAAGAAGTTAAGAATGCACATGTGACCACAACATAAACACATCGTTCTGTTTCATGAGTGTGGTGGCATGTGGATTCGTTTTATGATGGATTTATGAGCTTTTAAAAGCTTAAACTACACAACTGCCCAACACCATTATACAGCATGGAAGAGTCAAGATAAAACTGTGTTTATCTGGAAGATACAGAGGATGACTTGAGGGTGAGTAAATTACTGGATTATATTAATATTTTTATTATTAATATGAATTATATTATAGCCCATATAATATGTAATTGATATTAATCATATTAATATCAATTATATTAAATGATTTTGGATGAACTATTCTTTTAATGCACATTAAACAAATCAGCCAATACTCTGCAAAAAACATAAAGTTTAGGTTAATATTAGGTTAGCTTTAATGTCCCTATTAGGCTTAGACCTTGTAGCAGCTATAACATTTGCAATAAATAGGGTTGTGATATGAAAAAGTAAACAGAATACAAAAAGAAAACCAAGACAGTCAACAAATTTGGACGGTTATATTTGAAGTCCTAATTTGTTTGGCTGATTTGGGGTGGGTGGGGCTCTGAACCATTCCCTGCTTCTAAAGTGGGGAATGACAGAAAAAGTTTGAGAAATTCTGTACTAGAGACAAGATTAATTATTCCCACGGCATTTGATCATTTCTATACATTGCCAGGTCATTTTCGTGACCCTCTAAATTTCCAGGACGCGTAGGAACCCTTGAATAAAGACCTACACCATTTCCCATCGGTTTGCAGAGAACAGCAGATGAACGGTGTGATCCTCCAGATTGCTCTTCTTCTCCAGGTATGAACTGATGAGTTGTCCAATCTTAGTAGTTCTGTCTATAAAGAAAATCGGTTGTCATCAATGAATACAATAAAATACAAATACTGTACAAAGGTTGAAAAGCTGCTAAATCACTTCGTCCTTCAGGTCTAACGTTAGGCAAAGTAAGTTATATCATGTAGTCTGTTAACGTTACACTCTTTACGTTATCTGTGTAGACAGCTCACTCAGATTATGACACAGGAGTTATATCGTAATTTACGTATGTATTATCGAATTGTAACTCGATGTTATTTTAAAAAGGATAATTTTTTACAAACTGCAAAACTGCCGCGTGCCTAATTTGATCACTGTAACACTGTTTCAGTGTCAGAACCTAAGCAACGCTTTATAAAGATGTTAATTTTAGATTGTTCAAGAGAAGGCAACACATGTATATGAATATATAAGTAGTATTTTCACCTGGAAATCGCATAATTTCTGCCGCCCGTCCGCTCTGCTGTATCGCCTGCACTAGTTTTTGGCATTGTGTGGTTTTTCCTGCTCTGTCAACTCCTTCTAGAACAATTAAGGCCCCTCTTCTGCAAGACATGGCTCTGTTAAACAACCTTTTAAAATTATAACGATAACTTACAGCAGCAAGAACAAAATGCTATTTGGCCTGGATCTGTTTACGCGGTACTTTTCTAAACAACACCCTGAACAGCCGCTTTGCCCTCCCACTTCTACGGTGCCCGAGAAAAGACAAACGCAATTCAACAAATACTTATCAGAAGCTGGGGACAGGGGTATGATTCAGAAAGGAGAAGTGAACAGTATGTTAACCCTGAAACGAGGGAAACTGGGTTTCAGAATGGGAGGTATGTCAAACATGAAGACTTAATTTTAAATATGTTTAATGGAGAACTTACAGAATCAATGAAACGGAGTAACGTTAATTACCTTGATTCCAAAACGAAGACTACCATTACTTGGATAATTGGCGTCCAATTACGCTACTCAACTCAGATTACAAATTACTACCATCTTTATATGCTACTAGGTTAAAACCATGTTTGGAGGAAATCACATCTCTCTCCCAATCTGGATTTATGAAGAGAAGAATATGTCAAATTATATTAGATTGCTATTAGATCTGTTGGATTACTCAGATTTAGTAACTGAGGAGGCTAACGTTATAATTTTGTATTTAGATTTTTACAAACCCTTTGATACAGTTGAACATAGTTTTATGTATTAGACACTTCATTATTTAGATTTTGGCCCAACCTTTAAAAAATTATGATTTTTAAAAATAATATTTCAAGCAGTGTTTCTTTATCCAGTACTTCTCGTTTTATTATTTGAAGAGGCATAAGGCAAGGGTGCCCAATTTCACAATTTTTGTTTTTATTAGTTGCTGAAACCCTAAATCTTTATACTGTACATTGTTCCCAAATTAAAGGTATTGAAATAGGAGATACCACATTAACTATTAGCCAACTTGCAGATGACACCTGTTTATTCTTAAAAATTAAAGATCAGGTCCCAGTTATTTTGGAAGCTTTTAGGCTGTTCTCTGATGCCTCAGGTCTATTAGTTAATCAATCCAAAAGTGAAATAATGGCTATACACCAAATAGACGATCTAAGTATAATGGGAATACAAGTTAAAAAGGCAGTTAGATATTTAGGTATTGTAGTTAGTAAATCAACCTCAGAACGGATTACAGAAAACTTTTCACAAAGGCTACAAAAGACAAAAAAATCTTTAATTGCTGACTTCAAAGGAATTTATCTGTTCAGTAGAGTGCTGATCTCAAAAGTCGAAGGTATTTCCAGACTTGTATACCCTGCGCTGTACATTTATGTAGACTCTAAGACGTGTTTTACATTTGACCAAGTTTTATTTGGTTGTAAAAAGTTTATTTGGAGAGGCAAAACAGAGTATTTTAAAAGGAAAATTAGGAATATATCAGAAGGAGGATTACATGCATCAGATTTCGAAACTATTATCAATATATTTAAAGTCAATTGGATAAAAAATGTTTTTATAGCAATATTTCCTTAGGGTTCTCTATCCCTCCCTAATTTTATCTTTGAAAATATCGTAACCTCCACTTTTTACTAACTTGTGATTTTAAGTGTTCTAAAATTCCTATTAAGATGTTCATTTTTCATAAACATGCCTTGAAAACATGGAAACTGATTAATAATAACTTTTGTCCCCACTCATGTATTATCTGGAACTATCAGTATATTTTATTCAAAAACAAGTTCAGATTTTGGAATAATTATGTTAACAAAGATTTTTTTCTCTCTCTTACAGGCTTATTAAATCATGTAGGGGATTTATATACAGTGAATCCATTAACACTTTTGGTTTAAAAATGACTTTGAATAAATACAAAAAAAAAAAAGTTCATTGTATCTCCCCAAAATTACCTCACTTTATTAAAACTACAAAAATATATAACCATGTATCTGTCTCTCTTCCACAGCTTACTATTAAGGGCCTTTCTGTCATGGATAAAAAAATAATAACAATTATATCAGAAACTCCTAACTGCAGTTAAAAGTGTTCCTCCAATAGCAATGGTTAAATGAAAACAAGCATTTCCTTCATTCTATTTTCCTCAAAAAATCTGGTCAGATAATAAAAAATACGTAATTCCTAATAAAGTAAAAGAATTAAAATATATATATATATATATATATATATATATATATATATATATATATATATATATATATATATATATATATATATATATATATATATATATATATGTATATGTATATATATGTATATATATGTGTATATATATATGTATATATATATATATATATATATATATATATATATATATATATATATATATATATATATGTATATATATTACATAGATATTATCCATGCAATGATTTTGTCAAAAAACGGTTTTGGTCCCAAGTTTCCTTATTACTTTTTAAAGTGTATTATAAATAATAACTGATAAAATGGTTTTATTTATGGATTGCAACTCTGGATTATTGGAAATGGACAAAATAACAATACTTATTTTATTTAGAAAGTATCACATTCACAAATTAAAATGTATGCTTACTGTACCAAATTGTAAACAATTTTTTTATTGATCTAAACATTTTTTATGATTCCCTGACTTCTATACTGAGTAATACCAAATTTATTAAGACATCCCAACTCCTGAAAAATATGCTTAATGTACAAGATAAATTTGTGTTGTTAATTACCTTATATACTGTTGTATAATTCTGTACTCCCCTGTTTAATCAATAAAAAAAGTGTTAAAAAAAGTTAAATGGGCTTAACTTACCCTGCTTTCTTGTTGCTAGATTTAGCAACTTTTCAGCTCTTAATTCCTTTCAACTTTATTTTCAAAAATGTCTTTCCAACAAATTTAGCTATTTAGAAATGTTTATTTGGAATCTTTGAACAACATTTAAAAAGTGATTTTAAATGACTCAATTAATTTCTGAACTGCTAGGTGGACAATCAGCATGAAGAGAGAATCCTAGCAGGGCACACATCACATGTGTAGTTACTGGCTAATTAAAAAAGAATCTATATTTATTTATTTATGCAGGCCCATAGTCAGCGTATTGGAAGGGGTGGACATTTTTGCAGTTATTTGCCTCATTTTCTATTCTATTATGATGATTAAATGCTGCATTTTATTGATATTTTAAGCACAAATCTTTGCTGGATTAGCTTGTTAGATGTTGTCGAACCACACTTTTTAATGTACCAAAAATATTTCCAACAATTTTGTCAAAATGCTCACCATACTATTTTACTACAAAGTATAGGTTTACAAATGTGCATTTAAACTGTAGGTTATTACAGTTTTATAAATATTGTTATGACATAGGAAATAAATTATTAAAATAAAGAAATAAACATGAAAAAAATACTTCAGTTTAAAATGCAACTTTATTATCATCCATCTTAAAAAAAACAATTTGCAATCTGTTTATACTTGTTTTGAATTAAAAATTCAACTTACCCAATTTCCACCCTTGATACATATTATCAAAGAAATCTGGGAAAATAATTCTGTATTGTTTATTCTTTTTTAATGAGAGAGAAAACAACTGAAAATGGGTGATAAAACTACTGAAATTGATGTATTCCCCGATACTACAAGTGTTTCATTCATTTATTTACGATTATGTACCCTAACACTTAACATTTTTGCATTTCTGCAACTGTAATCTTTAGAGTGTTTTGTCACTCAAACTCTCCATTATTGGCCAAATGATGGAAAAGGGAACTGTCAAAGCTTTACACTTCTCAGTGAGATTTCTATCCCAGGTTAAACTGTTTAATTTTAATTAAAGGGTAGCTTTTGTCAATCAGACAGTTTTTTGTCTGTTTGTTTTTTTCTTTGAGTATAAACGAAGCAGATTAGACTTCAGTCATGTTTACTAAGGCTGCCAAATCCATGTCAATGAAATATATGAAAATATATGAATATATGGCACTTATGTTGTGTTTGACAGACATTTGTGCTCTCTATCGGTCTAAATGTAACTGTTCATTAAAGCAGCGTATTTTAAGAAGCTGGCTGTTGTATCCACCAAAATAAAGTCTCTGAGACTACATTATTACAATATTAACCAACAAACGTCTAAATTCAGTTCTCATCGCTCTTATTAACTTATTGACCGTGTTTATTTTGACACACGAGGCGCAGGGTCCTAATATATCAGGTTTGTGTTTTTAAACATCTCAAGTCTTTTTGACTAAAAAATTATTTGTATTTTATTAACTGAAACATCAAACTCATGTTGATTAGTCCTTTTATTCACTCAAGTTGGATGGCATACAATTTCAAAGTACAGTTAAATTTTTTTCTGATGATGTTGTGTCAGCAATGAGACTTTTCATTGAGGAATGTTGTCAGACTCTGCTCTTGTGGCAGTGTTTAAGAGAATCAGCCAAAGCCTCCAACACTTTATCCACATTGGCCTTGTTGCTGTTACATCCCATCAACCCTACACGCAAAACCTGTAACGTAATGTGAGATAAAAAATAAAAAAATTCCGATAACATTTATTCACCAGAACAAGTCTCCAGAATGCTTCATTGTCCAGATGTTTATCATATTTGATTATTAAAAAACAATATCTTCTCACCATGCCTGCAGATGGACCCAGACCGCCAGAGATTTCAATGTTAAAGGTCTTCATAATGTACCCTGTAATTTCCCGCCAGTCGTATCCTGGCGGAGCTACTATTGTTGTCACCGTTGGGAGTCTTGCTTTCTGTAAGACAATATTTTTTTCAGTGCTTATTTGATATGTATCTTATATAAGGCCTGTTATGATGTGCCAACCTTATCCTGCACAAACAGTTTTAGACCCATTTGTTCTAAGCCTTTATGGAAGTACTCTGCAACCTCTTTGTGCCGTTTCCATGAGTTTTCAAGACCCTGTTAAACAAAAAAAACAAAAAAAAAGGAGGAACAAACGTTTGCATTATTTTCCTTTCTCTACACATTTGAAATATTTCATGACTCCATGACCTTCTGAAGCTCTTAAAGGGGCAATAGGAGAACTTGAAAAATACTAGCGTTAGCCTAATAGCATTGAAAACCTACGTCCCACCCTGCAAATCGTCATTCAAAGCCACACTTTCTAAATAATGAATGTGAACTAGACAACATCACTACAATACATCCCATAAGAATATATTATAGTGCATTTAGTAATTATCAAACTTTTCAAAAGAAGCTACGTATAGGTTGTTGATGTTTGCCTGCCATTCTTTGTCTGAACTGTGACTCTGAATGCAATCTTTTCTGCTAACAGAATGCTATGGTGATGCTCAAACTGAATGTTTGATTGGACACATTGTTCTTGGTTCTACACCCTTCACTGAATATTAAAATACATATAAATACATTGAACCACTTAATTTAATGACTGCTGTCAGGATATGAAGAGACTTTCAACTAATAACAAGAAGTATTTTTGATGAAAATTAAGGCAGGTTTGCATAAACGGTTATCTAGCACTTTTGTTTTAACAAACTCCTAATTTGATCCTTATTAATAGTTATTAAGGTAGTTTCAAAAGTTAAACAAAAAAGTTAGCTTTAGGTATTAGGTAGGATTAGCGATATAGAATGAAAATAAAGAAGTATTACTGAAAAGGTCTATAAATATATTTGTATATAATATTGTAAATTCATTTACATTGAAAATGGCTTTAGAGAAAATTCTGGTGCAAAGAACAACAACAACAAAAAAAACTGAAGTATTTGATAAAAGTAACTCTAGAAAAAATTATATAATCTTTAAAAAAGTTGACAAAAAAGGTTTTGTTTCTAACATATACAGTTGAAGTCAGAATTATTAGCCCCACTGAATTATTAGCCCCCCGTTTATTTTTTACCCAAAATCTGTTTAACGGAAAGAAGATTTGCTCAACACATTTCCAAACATATAGTTTTAATAAGTCATCTCTAATAACTGATTTATTTTATCTTTGCCATGATGACAGCAAATACTATTTGACTAGATATTTTTCAAGACACTTCTATACAGCTTAAAGTGACATTTAAAGGCCTAACTAAGTTAAATTAGGTTAACTAGGCAGGTTAGAGTAATTAGGCAAGTTATTGTATAACAATGGTTTATTCTGCAGAAAAGAAAATTAGCTTAAAAGGGCTAATAATTTTGTCCTCAAAATGGTGTTTAATCAGTTAAGAACTGCTTTTATTCTAGCTGAAATAAAACAAATAAGACTTTCTCCAGAAGACAAAAATATTATCAGACATACTGTGAAAGCTTCCTTGCTCTGTTAAACATAGTTTGGAAAATATTTAAAAAAGAAAAAAACAATCAAAGGGGGGCTAATCATTCTGACTTTAACTGAATATTGATTGCTTTTGTTGTTTGATGCATAGATAGAACAACATTTTTAAGGACTTTAGGATTTGTTATAAATGCTATTTAAGTTAATTGTAGAAAAACTGAATGAAACTCTATGAAAATGTTCCATGTATTTAAACAAAGACTATAGGATATAACTTCAGTCCTACGTGATATTTTTTAAGCAGTTACAGTACTTGATACCAAGAAATCACCGCAGAATGGGGCTTATACAATACAGTTTATACTTATACCCTTAAAATTCATGATTATTGATGCATAAATGACCCTGTGTAGCCTTGTATGTAGAAGTATTTGATCTTACAGTCTCTGCAAGGATGGCCAGACTTTCCCGCAGAGCGTAGAAAGAAGATACAGGTCCAGTGTGGTGATAGCTGTACAAAAAAAAAACAATGTTCTTTCATTTTTTTAATGATTGAGAAAAAGGTTCAAATCTGTCCATGTAAACATGATTTTGGGCTGCTTTGTTTGATTGACATAACACGAGTGAGGCATCTAGTCTTTAATAATCAGTTATATTTATATATAAATGTTGTAAATGGTGCTTACGAGCGCACAGGCTTGTCGTCGCAACCCCAATAATTCGCCAACCAGTTTAAGTCCAAGAAGTAAGAGATTGGTTTTGTTTTCCTATTAAATATTTTGTGGCTGTTTTCCAAAACAAAAAAAAAGATGTAAGATATTTAAGTATGAGATATTCATATTAAAAGTGTTTGTTTATTTGTCTCTGACTCACCATGCTCTCTCGCTAAAGGAGATTGGTGCAGTTCCTGGTGGGGCGTTCAAGACCTTTTGAGAGCCAGTATACAAAATATCAATACCTGCAGATACAAAATATACGTTTAAATTAAGGACCAAAGTTAAGGATTGTGCTACCACAGAATAAAGTGTGACGATACCTTGTTCATCCATACAGATAGGAGCACCTCCCAATGCTGCTACTGAATCAACCAGAAATAAACAGCTGTACCTGAGGGACAGAACAGTATTTATTCAAAGTAAGTAGGAATATATATTTATAAATATACTGTATAAAACTGAATATTTGTGTGACTTGACATACTAAATATATTTTGAAATGTAATACAAGTTAAAATGCTGCCATGTTAAAGGGCTCATCTGTCATCTTTATAGGGATCTGTTAAATTAATAAATTAATAAAAATTAAAAATTATACTTGCTATTTGATTTAGTGCACTGAAACAGAAACACAGAAACTGTTTATTCATAAATTGCTTGTAAACCTGCAATCTTTGAAGGGATGCATTTAATTAAATATGTATATTTATAAAGAAACATTTATTTACAGCCAACAGATTTTTTTTATTGTTCCTGTGTAATTTACATTGTGTTTGTGTGACTGTCATTTTGTTAAAATGTTTAAAAAGTATTAGAAATATATATATATATAAAAAATAATAAATAATAATTTAATGTAATATTTTGTTAACTAATTATAAAAAAAAATTACTTTTGCCACCTGTCTGCCCTAACTTGTGTTTCTTTTTCTGTTTTTCTCCCTATCATTATTATTATTATAATTCTTGTTTCAGTTTAGTAAATCATTACTTTGTATATTTAAGACCCTTTGTTTCTTCAATTAGGGCAACCTGGTTGCGCAGTAGGTAGCATGATCGCCTCACTGCAAGAAGGTCGCTGGTTCGAACTTCTACTGGCTCAGTTGGGATTTCTGTGTGGAGTTAACATGTTCTCCCCATGTTCACGTGGGTTTCCTCTGGGTGCTCCGGTTTGCCCCACAAGTCCAAAGACATGAGCTATAGGTGAATTGGGTAAGCTAAATTGGTCGTAGTGTATGTGTGTGATTGAGTGTGTATGGGTGTTTCTCAGGGTTGCAGCTGGAAGGGCATACGCATCCGCAATCCATCATTCCACTTTGGCAACCCCAGATTAGGAAAGGGACTGTGATGAATGAATGAAGGTTTCTTCAGTTCATTTTTCAGTCTCGTTTCTATCTTTGCTTTAGTTAATGATCTCTTTCTTTGTCATGGCATAAGGTAATGTGTGAAGTACATTCCCACTCTAGACATTATTCAATTGGACACATCTCTTCAGTTCAACATGTCAACAATCTTTTTTTTTTTTTTTTCTGTTTCACCAAAAAGAGCAAGAATAAATTAGACAAAGGTGAATTTTAATATGGGTAAAGTATATGGCTACCTCATAATAAATTAGGGGAAAAAAAGAAAGATTTTGATGATTTTTAATTTAAATCTCAGTGTAGTTCATAACGAGATTAGTTCTCACTTGCGGCAAAGTGGGCCTATGCCATCTATGGGGTGAACCACTCCTGTGGACGATTCTCCATGTGTGAGGAAGAACACTGCTGGCCTGTATTTGTTTAATGCCTGCAACACAGGACAAAACAAGCTGAAAGAAACACTCCAGGTTTTTGGAAATAGGCATATTTTGCAAGTGTTTGTTTAACCATTTTTCAATCCATTCAGCTGATCTCCGGTTCTGGTGGGAGCAGCAGGCACATGGATTTTACGCAGTGATGTTACCTAGCTGGGGACTACTTTCAGGTACTGCATAATATCATTCCGCCTGGTACAGCTGTGGTAAGGCAGCAAAGTTTCTTAATTATTATTGGCCCACATGCCGCAGGGAATTACGGTATATGATTGGACCAAGTCTGGCTTCTATACAAGGGCCAAACATGGACCATATCTGGGCCAAGTCTCAGCCAAGGTAATAACCCTGAACTGGGCCAGATATGTTTTTGTGTCTTAACTGCAGTGAATTTAATAAACCCATGAAGCATTTTGCTTTATGTCTGCACTTTTTTTCAAAGTGACCCGATTGGTAGAATTTTTTTCTTTACTCTAATAAAATTTAAATGTTTTATAAGTGGGTCAAGATAGGCCAAATATATGTGGCCCACTTCTAAATTTTTAGCATCTGGTCCAAATACTACATTTGATATCTGGCCCTAGTCTTGTGTGCGGCATTAAAGTCAGTGCCACCTCTGCTAAACCCGGGCCATGTTTGGCCCACATGCTGTAAGCCAGTGCTGGACAAATGCCAAATCTGGGCCAGAGTTCTTTGTTACCTGGGTACCCACATAGCAAAATATCTCTGGCCCAGCTCTGCCCCACACAATCAGCTTTTGCATGGCCCACATGCAGCAGTGAATTACGGTATATGATTGGACCAAGTCTGGCTTTTAGACAAGGGCCAAACATGGACCATATCTGTGCCAAGTCTCAGCCAAGTTAAAAACCCATGACAGAGCCTGAACTGGGCCAGATATGGTTGGTGTTTCATGACTACAATAAAATTGATAAACCCATGAATCATTGTGCGTTAAGTGTGCCATGGGCATGCTTTTTCTCAAAGCGACCTGATTGGTAGAGTTTTTTTCTTTATTTGAAAATAATAAAAATGTATCATAAATGTGGGTCAAGATAGGCCAAACTTATGGCCCACATATCAATTATTAACATCTGGGCCAAATACTACCTTTTACCAAGTATTGTGTGCCACCTCTGCCAAACTAGGGTCATGTTTGGCCCACATGCTTTATGCCAGTGCCAGATGAATGCCTGCTGTGCCAAATCTATGCCAAATCTGGGCCATATCAACCTATAAAATAGCATTAGCACACAATGTAATTAAATACAGAAAAGTCAAGCTTTTAACATAATTATTAAAGTCTTTTTTTTTAAAACTGAGCAAGATGCTAATGGTCTAGTCTGATTTAATGGTTTATGCTAAGCTACGCTAAAAGTTCTCCCACCAGATCCAGAGTTTGTCTGAATGGATTGAAAAATAAATCTTAACTGTTTAACTCTAGGGAAGTTGTAAAATGAGCTAATTTACAAAAAAAAAAAAGAAAAGTGGAATGTTTCTTTTATGTAGTCATGGTTAATCAAAGAACTGTTTACCTTCTCAATTTCCTCATTTGTTAAATACCCCCCAGCCATGGTTTCAACTGTGTTCACCTTGGCACCTGATCAAGAGTATTTGATATATACATGAATGATGTTCTGAATCATTTTATTAACTCTTAGTTTTAAGCTTTTTATCATCAATACCTATCCTCTCCGCAATCTCTGAAGCTCTCTCTCCCCATATGCCATTGACTGCTATGAGGATTTTGTCTCCAGGCTCCAGGGAGTTAAAGATGGCACACTCCATCGCAGCATGACCCGGTCCACTCACGGCAAGAGTCACTCGGTTTTTGGTTTGAAACGCATACTGAATGCCGCTCTTTATCTGATTCATAATCTGAAAGCAAAATCAGAACGAATTATTAATAAAACAGTCTCATTTTATTTCCAAGATCTCTCATACAAGCTACTTTAACTTGTAGAATGCCTACTTCAATAGATACAATGTAATTAGTCGTTTATTTACTTAAGATGCAGATGTTTTAAAGGGATAATAATTTAACATGAAATGAATATTGCCATCATTTACATCATTATCATGTTGTTCCAATTGCTTATTACTTTCATTTATGAAGCATCAAAGGATAAACGATATTTTGAAGATCCTTGATGACCATGGATTTAATTTTTGTGTAATAAATCTATGGTGATACACTGTAAAAAAATGCTGGCTTCCCCACAATTCCTTCATGTTCTTCACACATAAATTGACTGTTAACTTGGCTGTTTTTTCAAATTCTCCATAAAACAATTAATTCATCAAGATTCAACCTATCAAGAATTGGATTGATTCCACTCAATTTTTAAATTAGTAGTTTGAACAAGCAGCAAAAATCATTTTTTGAGTGCATGCTAAAGTAGGCCCCATCTTATTTTATTGTGAGTCAGACTGGGTATTGATTCAAATATCCTGATTAGTTGTCCTTCTGATTTGCAATTTCTCATTTTAGATTTTTATTATTTTTTTTGATTTGATTAAATTAAGTTCTACTTAAGTTTTATGCTAACTGATATCGCTAGAAAAATAAACACTGAATATTAGTTCACAATTTAAACTAATTCAAATTTCAGGTACATATGTATATATTTAAACAAACCCCACAGTTAAAGCCAATATGGAAATACAATTTGAGAATAAACATTGACACAACCGCATACAAAAAGTAAAAAGATTAATTAATTTTGCAAAGGTCTTTGTGTCAGTAAATGATTTTTTTGTGTATGTGACTGAATATGTTGACTGAAATTTGAGAATAATTTGATCGATATGCATGCAGTGTTTGAAACTAACTTTGCAGTGTGTAAAGCTTACACTGAATAATGAAAATTACAAACAGAGATGAAAATAATACAATTCCCAATTAATCTAAAAGGATAAATATTGTATGATAATAAATTACTAATATGCCTTTGAACATATACAAAAATTAACTGTCTTTCTATCAGCCTTTTAGCATGTGTGTATACATACATGCATACAAACATGGTGTGGTGTTAAAAGTGTTTGCCCCCTTATTGATTCACACTTTAATGTTTCACATCATCAAACAATTTTAAACAGTCAAAGATGACACAAGTAAATCATGCAGTTTTTGAATGAAGGTTATTATTATTAAGGGAATACAAAATCCAAAACTACATAGCCCTGTGTGAAAAAGTGTTTGCAAAAGTACTGCCACACCCATTCACACTCAAGAAATCACTTAAAAAAGAACCTGCCTGACAAAGTGAAGTAGACCACAAGATCCTCAAAAACTAGACATCAAGCTTTGAGACAGCAGCGAACCACAGGGAGAGCCCTTATTTACAATTAAAACCTTATAGGAGTGGCCTGCTGATCAAAATTACCCGAAGAGCACAGAGGCAACTCATCCATGAGGACTCAAAGAAAAAAAGCCTACAACATTCAAAGAACCGAATGCCTCACTTAAGTGTGTTTATGACTATAAGAAAGAGACTGGGCAAAAATGACTGGCATTGCAGAGTTCCAAGACAACAACCACTACTGAGCAAAAAAGAACATAAAGCTTTTTCTTAGTTTTGCCAGAAAACATCTTGATGATCCCCAGGACTTTTGGGAAAATATTCTATGGACTGTCCTGACAAATGTTGAACATTTTCAAAGTTGTGTGTCCCATTATGAGTGACCTAAAAGTAACACTGCATTTCAAAAAAGAGCATCATACCAACAGTAAAATGTGGTATTGGTAGTGTGATGGTCCTGGGCTGTTATGCTGCTTCAAGACCCGAAAGACTTGCTGTTATAGATGGAACCATGAAATCTACTGTGTATTAAAATATCCTAATGGAGAATTTCCGGCCATCTGTTAGTGACCTCAAGCTGAAGCAAGTCCACTTCTGAATGGCTAAAGAAAAACAAAATAAAGACTTTGAAGTGGCCTAGTCAAAGTTCTGACTTCTGAATCTAATTGAGATGCTGTAGCATGTTCTTAATTGCAACAATTCTGCAAAGATGATTGGGCTAAAATTCCTCTACAGTGCTGTTACAGACTGTATTGCAAGTTATTGAAAATGCTTGATTGCAGGTGTAGCTACTAAGGGTGGCCCAACCAGTTACTAGATTTAGGGGGCACGCACTCAACACACAGCTATGCAGTTTTTTCTATTTTGTTTCCCCTTCATATTAAAATCTTTTATTTCAAAACTGCATAATGCGTTTACTTGTGCTATTTTTAACCAATATTTTTTTTGATGATCTGAAACATTAAAAATGTAACAAACATGTGTATGATAGCTTGTTTTGTACTTGATGCTTGACTGAAATAAATATTTGATTAAAATAAATGTATCTTAAAATACCTTTTTTATGTAATGTCTTGATTTTACATGTTAAATTTTCCTTTATGTTCATGTTCAGGTAATAAAATGTATTATATCCAAACTGTATAGCTACTCAAATGGTTTGAGGAATTTGAGTTAAGTCAACTTAAACAATTTGTCGCAATCTGTTTCCACAAACCATTTGAGTAGCTATACTCAATATATATATGGTTGTATACACCATATATATATATATATATATATATATATATATATATATATATATATATATATATATATATATATATATATATATATATATACGCTATATAGGGTTGGACTCGAGTCATTAAATTTAACTGAACTCATACAGATCTGAAAATTGAACTTAAATTGTTTAAGTTACTAATACTCTAAATGTTTGATGATATCAGCTCAAATAGTATGTGCATAGGTTTCAATAAATAAGTTTACAGTACTCAAACCATTTCGTTTCAAAACTCAAACGGTTTTTTGCAATCGGTTTTCTTAAACGCTTTGAGTTAACTTATCGAGTTTTACAGCGGACATGTTAATGATCAGCCTCTTTATTAACACACAAACAGAAAATATATATGGAATTGTGTACAAAAAAAGCAAGTTTCAAATCAAAATGACTTCTAGTCAATGTTAGAAGCTTATGTGACCTCCCTTGGCAACAAGAACAACCTCAACTGTTTTTAAGAGACTGTCCTGAAGTTTTCTGATGTTCTTATCAGGCCTTTTTCATCACTTTCCAGAATTGTTCTTTAGATTTAATAATGGATTCATAATATTACGGTCTGGACTCCATGAAGGCCATTTTATGACCGTCTGTGTTTTAATCAGCCGTTCTTTTATTTTCTTTCCCCATATAAGATTGGGATTATTAGCATGCTGGAAATAAAAACATTATTTACCAGTCAGGTGCTCACTAGAAAGAATAATGTTTTAGGTATAATGGATTAAAACTGTCTGTACTTTTTAGCATTCACAATCCCATCAGTTCAGACAACATTGCCAACACCACTGGCAGCAATCCAGTAACAAACCAGGACAGAGACTCCCCTATGTTTCACTGAAGGCTGCAAGCTCTGATTCTTCTCTTTCTTCAGCTCTGTTGTTCACAATTTCTTAAACAATTAAGTCAGAAAAAAACTCTAACCTATTTTGTATTAAAATACTAATACTTTCATTACAGTTAAATGACATGTATTTGTAAATGTACTTATATAGTCAAAGAATGTCTACAAAATGTATAAAGTGAAACTAATTATCTTTTTTTTGGCCCTGTTATAGTACGTTTTAAATATTGGGTGTGCTATACGTTGAATTCTCTTAATAAGCTCATACTTCAATACCTCAATGGTTTCTGTGTGCAGGTGTCCCAGCATGGGCTGCGCTCCAGCTGCTGAGATCCGTGCAGGTACATTGGACGGTCCTGGTCCCAGCATAAGCCGTTGAGGAACAGGGAAAGGCTTTAGCAGACATTCCGGTGGAAGAACAGACAGAGACGACATAATGCTGCCAGTGCACTGAGAGACTGAGGTAATGGTTAACTCAAGTTAAATGTGGGCAAACATTTTACCCTTTGGCCAATCATCTCACTTTTAGTACTGACACTGTCACAGTGCAACCAGGGCTGGAATATCGAATAAGCATTCTAGGGATGTCCCCATGCTCACACAATCAGGAAAACCCATCCCACTGGACTATTACAATTAATAGCAAAATAAATAATTGGAAATGTAAGCTGATACGGACACACTACAGCAAAAGATCTGTCTGGTGAAAAACTAGCATTCTCATTTTTGGCCTTTACTATATGAACTTAAGTTTAACAATTGAGACCCAAAATGATTTTTTTTTAATTCTTTTAACGTTAAACAGAGTAAAGGACACTAGTATGTAAGTCCTAAAACCTTAAATTGTTTTTGTGTTGTTGTTGTTGTTTTGGGAGTCCAGCATCTGCAGTTGGACATAGTGTCCATGGTACTTTGTACTTTTGTACAAAACAAGAATAATCCATAAATAAATGACAGATGTTTTTTTGTGCTTCAAGATTCTTAATATACTTTTACATATAAACGGATTCATCAGTCCTGACAATAAAAAAACACACTTTTAAATTCAATGTTTTATTCAGAATGTGAAACATTAATTATATTTGCTTTGATGCAACCAAGTTTTATTTACAGTTCCTGTAGAACATTACATTTGCAATAGATGAGTGTCATTAACACACAATCATATGTAACCAGTATTCATTATCAATTAATAAAGTCATAACTAAATGAAAAAGTTAAATAAAATCCCCTTATTCATGTTTTAAATGGATTTGCCTATGAAACTTCTGTGATATTTTATTCACCCTCCATTTGTTCTAAACCATGGCTGCTCAACCCTGTTCCTGGAGATCTACCTTCCTGCAAAGTTCAGCTCCAACCCTGATCAAACACACCTGAACCAATTAAATAGGACCTGAACAGCACGTGATAATGACACGCAGGTGTGTTTGATATGGGTTGCAACTGAAATCTGCAGGAAGGTAAGTTTCCAGGAACAGGGTTGAGCACCCCTGTTCTAAACTATAGGGCTGTTTCTCAATTCCAAGAACGCAGAGAACAGACTTGTGTTCTTGTGGAGACCGGTCTTGCCAGGTGTCCTCGGAAGAACGAACTCAGGAGACCGCGAGGGCAGAGAACGCGTCCTTTGAGAATTGAGATGCTGCGTTCTTCCTGATGGTCACATGACCTTCACGTGGTTTAAATGGTAAATTATTTAAACATTACAGCATTCATACAACGATTTATTGTTTTTCCCCTTTTCAAAATATATACTTTGCATAAAAATATTATAAATATATGTTGCACAATATAAATAAAACGACTTTCAGCAAACGAACACCCTTAATATGTTTATTCCTTTATTAAGATGTCCATGGTAATGTTTACTTTCACCGTTTCATTAAGGGAAACTCCTGAGGTTAACAAGTGATATCTCTGAACTTTAATAATAAATCTATATAAAATGCTGCGCTTCCCACCTCCAGTTGCAATGACTTCTGTGACTTCCAGAGCGAGTTCGGTTCTCAAGTCTGCATCGGTGTGTCCTCGATATCAAGAACACATCCGGGAAGTTTCACGCGTCCTCCGTACTTGCGGTCTTGAGTATTGGAACTGAACTTAGGCAGCGGATGATGACGTTTCACAAGAACACGAGGACGCAAGACCGCTAAAGAACGCATATTGAGAAACAGCCTAGGTTTCAAACTGGATTTCTAGAGTGCCGCAACGCAGAAGTTTTGCTCCAACCCTTTTCAAGACTCTTTTGAACACCTTGATTATTTGGATCAGCTGTGTTTGATTATAGTTGGAGCAAAACTGTGAAGAGCTGTGGCCCTCCAGGAATCCAGTTTGAGACCTATGTTCAAAACATTATCTTTCTTCAGTTGATCAGACACACAAATAAAAAGCGACAATTTGAAGAGTTTGGAAGTCAATGAATACTGGTTTATAACATTTTTCAAAAATTATATTGGGTGAGTGCACTTTAATTTCTAAATTTAATTTTATGAACTCCTCTATTAGGGATATAATACATTCATGTAAAATGTAACTTCTATATATTTTACATTTTACAATTATTTTGATTATAAAACATATCATTAATTCTATTTAAGTTACCCAAAACTCACAATACATTACAGTATTTATTAGCCTATTTTAATGTTGGTTAATGAAAATAAAGTGGTTTGTTGTTATTGTTGCCTCACTTTGCCTTAACTAATGTTAACAAGAATAACTTTAAATTTTAATAATGTATTATTAAATACACAACTATAATTAATCAACTCTGGTTCATTAGTATTTCATGTTAGAAAATGCATTACTAAAATGAAAATGTCACAGTCTAGAACTAAGACAAATTGAGGTAAAGTTAGTTTTATATTCACACATTCAGACTTTCTCCTTAATAATATAATTTAAAAAAAATATTTATTGCAAGTTCTAAACAGTGAAATCAAATGAGCAGCCAATGACTATCAAAAGAACAACATTGTTCACAGTCAATTAAAAAGTGCTGATGCTGTTTTGGATTCACACTTACATGTGATTTCAGTCTAAATATTCAAAGTACCATGGTGAACAATAATGAACAAATCACTAAACGAATGTGCGAATATGAAACCAACTTTACTCCAATCTAAGAAAAGACACTGTGACTGTGACATACACATTACACTCATACATAAAATACATACACTTCTAAACATGGCCTGACTGCCGGCAAAAAAATAAATAAAATTTATACACTGATCTTTGTAGTGTTATCAGTGTATTGTGCATGTGTGTGTGTTTGTGTAATGTGAAATATTGTCTAAGGTTAAGATTGTTTATTTATATATATATATATATATATATATATGTAGATATATATAGATATATATATATATATATAGATATATATATATTTAAATCTATCTATATATAATACATCTGTGTCTTCCACAGACACGGATACTACTATATATATATATATATATATATATATATATATATATATATACATATATATATATATATATATATATATATATATATACATATATATATATATATATATTTTTCTTTTCTTTTTTTTCTGCAGTCTTGTTGCTAACAGAGTTTGTTCAGGTCTGAACAAGCCTGTAAATACTTTGCTAATATTGTATAGTTTATTTTTCTTTATTGTTATTTTGTCACTCTAATCTTTTTGTTGGATTTTTTTTCACTTTGTGTCAAATACGATCACTCTTCACTTTCATCAGCTGCTTCTGTGACACTTTTTGCCTCTCATCCACCCAGTCAAAAGTAACAGGAACTTTATCATAAAGTGTGACCAAATAGTCACAATAAAAAAAAATTTCTAAATAAAAATGACACATAAAAGCCTTTACTGCACTTACTGATATTAACAGGCAGTACAAGATATGCATTATGCTTTAATTCTTTTGTTTACACAGTGGTAGTGGACTTGTTCTGGATTAGGAGGTGCTTCCCCAATGGCTGAGAACTGAAAGATCCATGACTGTAAACCACCTGGCCTCGCACTATAGTGAACCTCACCATACCCCGCAGAACACGATCAAGGTAAGGAGTCAACTGAAATAAAAGTGAAAAACAATTTCCCTTTAGCAGTATGTAAAAGTCATACTCAGTCCCATGGGCTACTATGAAATGTGACCTACTTTGTTTTTGTGGTGTATGTTGTCTTCCTTCACCTATGAAAGTAAGATAGATGTTCACTTACTCGTTGAATTTATAGAGGAAGACATAACTATAGCAACAAGCATGTTTTATCTTGCTGTTGGTTATTTTGAGCACCTCAGATCACCCCCTTGAGTAAACCCTTCTCATTCTCACCGTAAACTCTTTTTCTGGATCCCAAATGACTAAGTCTGCATCGTGACCTGGAATGAGACTCCCTTTTTGGTTGTCAAGGCGACAGAGTCGAGCAGGCTCTTCACACAAGAGTCTTGCTGCGTCAGAGAATGAAAATCCTCTTTTAGAAGCGGAAGTCCAGAACAAAGATAGAACTGTTGATAAACAGTGAGGTTGTAGTTAGTAACTAAGCAGGATTTTCTATTCATTTTCTATTCAGCTTAGTCCCTTTTTTCATCAGGGGTCACCACAGCGGAATGAACCGCCAACTTATCCAGCATATTTTTTTTTTTGCAGCAGATGCACTTCAAGCTGCAACCCATTGTAGTCGGTCATAAAAGTTAGATCTAATCCAAGTCACAATAAAAAGCAAAAATAATTTTATAGTTCTGGTTAAAAAAAAGTTTTCAAAAAAAGAAATTAATAATTCTTTAAAGGATAGTAGAATGGAATTTTTCATTATACACTTAAATTCAAGGGTTCCAAATGAGTTTGAGTTTCTTTTTTCTGTTGAACACAAAAACACATTGAAAAATCTTGAAATCCTGTAACCATTGACTTCCATGGCATTTGTTTTTCCTACTATGGATGTACTTTATTAACTAATAATAGTGCTTGAATTCATAAATATAGTGCATTTTTATGTTTGAAAACTTCAAAGTTTTATTTCACTCAAGTGGCAGTAATAGACAAAAAGTTTAAATTTTGTTACAGACCAGGGTAGGATTGCGCCAGCTGTTCGTAAGTTCTATATAAACCATGCATATAATGCATCTGTCTGTCTGTCTAAGTGTCCTATGAAAATGAAATAACAAAATACATCTTTTATAGTAGGCCTATATTACTTTACAGTCTTTAACAAAAAACAGATGCACGCAATACACAAAGTTATCAAAACCTTAAACTTGAAATGAAAACACCTACACAGGAAAGTAAAAAGAACAGGAGGAAAAACTCAAGTCATGAAGAAATAGCCTATTTGTTATAACTGACTGAGAGCCAACAACACAAAACACTTGAAAGAAGTTTGAAGTCTTCTATCGCAAACAAACAAACATGAGATTTGGGGAAAATTTAAGGCTGTGAGCAAAGGCAGATGGTTCTTAAAGAACATCATGAGCTCCTCAATGTAAACTAATCTTGCTGTCATCCATTTTCTACCGTAATACATGGCGGAG